AAAAAGAAATCCAACAATTCAAGTTGGAATGGAAAGTTGGTTAATAAAAGAAAGTATTAAAAAATACTTACAACATCGACTCAATTATAATAATCGTAAAGAAAATAAAAAAATTATGATGATGATGATAATAATAATAACCAACTTCCCAATCCAAAAAAAAAATAGTATGAATTATATAGCCAACTTTTACGAAAAAAATAATAATATGTATTTATTAATCAATTGATCTTTATTATTATTTTTTTTTAATTATTTTTTAGATGACATTCCTTCTCCTCCTACTCTATCATCACTACCACCACATTTTCATTTAATTTATGATGAAAATTTGGGTAATTTTATTGGTTTTATTTAAAAAAATAATAAAAGGAATTTAATTTATTGTTATTTTTTTTCTTTTTTTCTAATTATTATAGAAGTTGATAATACCACCACCGCCAATGTTGTTGTTGCCTTCAAAGTTGCTGCTAATATAATTGGCATTACCCCCAAAGTTGTTGCAAATAAAGTTACTGTAGTCCCTAAAGTTGCTGTAAATAAAGTTACCACTACCACTAAAGTTACTACTACCTCTAAAGTTGTTACTACTCCCAAAATTACTACTGCCTCCACCTCTATTACCACTACCAATGTTACTGTAAAAAAGTTGCTGCTATCCTCAAAGTTGCCACCATCAAAGCTGTCACCAATGTTTCAAAAAAGTAATTTTTATATTTATTTTTAATATTACATCATGAAATAATATATATAATTAGTCCAGAATGTAACGAAGGACTTATATTATCTAGAACGCATAATACAAAAATATCCTGATGTCTGTTCACTCAAAATTGAGTCAATACGTTATTGGTTACTTTCATTACACATGCTCTGGACTTAGCAACGGTCCCCGTTTCCTAGTATAATATAATATAATAATAATTTAGAAAAATCAAAAAATCAGAAGATTTATTGTTCTTATTTAGAAGAATTGGGTAAATATTTTATATTTTATATTTAAATTTTAATTTTAAATTGTAAAACTCTTATTTAATATTATAATTAATTAATTCATATAGAATAAATGAAATTTCTTTTTTATTTTTATTTTATTTTTTTTAATAAAATTTTTTTAATTTCGAAAATTATATTTATTTAATGATTAAATGTATAAAATTGCAATCAAAGTTACGTATATAATTTAATGTTTATGTTATAATCCAATCAAAAATAATGTATATAATATACTGATTAGACGTAAAAAATTCAACCAAAAATAACATATATAATATACTGATTAGACGTAAAATCCAACCAAAAATAATGTATATATTGTACTAATTAGAAATATAAAATCAACCAAAAATAATATATACAATATACTGATTAGACGTAAAATATATATGCAAAATTACTTATATAATATACTGATTAAACATAAATTCTGTATTTTTTTGCATACAGAAAAAGTCGATTTTTAGTATCTAATATATGAAAATACTAATCAAAAATAATGTATATAATATATTAATTAGACATATAAATTCCATATTTTTCTGCTTACAGAAAAAGTCGATTTTCACAATCTAGTATATAGAAATATTTACGAATTTATTATACTATTTTTCTACATTTATTATACGTTTTTTAAACGTATTATTTTCGTATACTTTTCTTATACAGATTATTTATAAGACAACTATAATTTGAATTTTCATTTTTTTAATAAAGTATTTTAGCATAAAAATCTATAATACATATATTTTATTATATAAAATGATTTAAAACTTTAAATTATTAAATTAAATCTAATTATTAATTTTAGCCTATTATATTAGCATTAGACCAGCCAATTTTCTTCTAAGCTTAATAAAATAATCAATATAAAAATCTATATATTATATTTATAGTAATTTAATTTGAAAAATCTTTTATTATATAAAAGATTCTATAATTATTCAGGGTTTAATTTTTGAAAAATAATATTCAATTTTTCTATTCATTTAAAATTATAATATAAAAAGTATTGGATCTATGTAGACTATATGTATTATACAATATATATAATAAATATAAAAATCTAATTTTTTCTTTAAAAAAAATATATTTATATATAAAAACAATTTTAATTATTTTTGATTTAATTTTAATACTTATTTCGATATTTAAAATATCTATATACACATTAATTTTTGTATATATACTGTATATTACATAATATAAAACATATACAAATTATTATTAAATAGATAATTATATATAAAAATTAAATTTACATAAGAAATAGTTATGCTTTTCTTATTTAGTAATAAAGTTATTAACATATGCATATAATTATTAACTTAGATTTTGCATACTGCTTGTTTTATTTTATCCTATTTTATTCTTATCAATATGATAATAGTTAGAATTATATTATAAATGGAAAAATTGCTAGAAAAAATAAATATATTGCGCCACCAGGTGACAAAATTTTGATAATCAAGTTAATCAAAGATGGTCAGATATTCCTTAAAATTCATTCAAAAGTTTTATAATCGAAATTTTATTTATTTAAATTTTAAAAAAAAATATTTGTTTCCAACCATGACTAATAAAAGTCAACCAGAATGGCACGTCCCAGAAAATAATGAGTCGTTGCCTACTCTTAAACTTTATAACTCACTTACAAGGAGCAAGGTAATAAAATTTACAAAACTTTTTAAATTTATGAACTTTTTTTTTATACTGAGTGACTTACAATTTTTTCATTATTTGCAGATTGATTTTGTTCCGAAAAAGGGAAAACAAATATCTTGGTACAATTGTGGACCGACGGTTTATGATTCTGCGCATATCGGTCATGCTAGGTATCAAAATTAAGAATTAATTCAGTAAATTTAATTGTTTTTATGGGATAATTGATTAATTTATTTATTTAGGTTATATGTAACGATAGATATTATTCGACGTATACTTTCGGATTATTTCAATTATGATGTTTTATATGTAATGAATATTACTGATATTGATGACAAGGTATTCCGAGAACATTTGGTTTACAAGAAATTTTTACCTAAACATCTATGTATTAATATACGTTTATTTATATTTATTCAATCATCTAGATTATACTTCGCGCTCGTCAAAATTACCTTTTCAATAATTTCAAGTCAACAATAAATTCTCTTACTAAAGAATTAATAGATCAAGTTAAAACTGCACTAAACGACTTTGCTCAAACAAGACTTGGCGTTGTGAATGATGGTTCAGTGCTTAATTTGGCACCTTCAAAGGAGGACCCAAAATACCTTTTGTATGCCAATACTTTTGTAGGTTCATTCATTAATTATATATTATTAATATTTGAGTAAGCTTATTCTTTCTTATTATACTTCACAAATTATCCGTCATTAGAGAGAAACTTTAGAAACAGTTGTGTCTGCTGAATTTTCTCTAGAAGAAAATGATGCAAGCCAAGAGGCAGCACATCAACTATTGGATGGATCTAAAGACGTTGTTTCATCATGGTTAGATAAGGAAGTATGTTTATGATGATTAATTATGACTTTTTAATCTTTTACATAAATTTATATATTATATGTTTAATAGAAAGGTGATACTGTGACGGATCAAAAAGTTTTTCGCGATTTGGCTGCTTATTGGGAACAAGATTTTATGAAAGATATGGAATTATTAAATGTAAGAATATATTTGATGCATTTTTTTTTAAGTCATTCCAAATTTCTTATAGCAAATCACATTGTTAGGTTCGACCATGTGATATTTTAACTCGCGTTAGCGAATATGTTCCTGAGATAGTAACATATGTTCAAAAAATAATTGAAAACGGTTATGGTTATGTAGTGGATGGATCAGTCTATTTCGATACAAAGGAATTTGATGCTAAAAAAGGTCATCATTATGCCAAGTTGCAACCGTGGTCTGCTGGGAACGAAGGATTAATAGAGGAAGGTGAGGGTAGTTTAGGAAGCAAATTACTAGGGAAAAAAAACAAGTGTGACTTCGCTTTATGGAAAAAAAGTAAACCTGGTGAACCATCTTGGAAGTCTCCTTGGGGACCAGTGAGTATAAGATATTTACAAAAGCTACATTTTACATAATTATCATAACTCTTTTTTAAAATTAGGGACGACCTGGTTGGCATATAGAGTGTTCTGTGATGGCTAGGTATATTCCCTACTTTCATGTTTATTTAATTTTATTTTTTATTTTTTATTTTTATTTATACTTTCAATTAATAATTCAAGTGAAATTCTTGGAGAAAATATGGACATTCATTCTGGAGGAATTGATTTGGCGTTCCCACATCATGATAATGAATTAGCACAATCTGAAGCAAGTTTTAATATTATATTAAAGCTGCCATTCTTTTTATTACTCAATTTTTAATTACGTTATTAATATCATCGATAGGCTTACCATGAATGTCAACAATGGGTTAATTATTTTATTCATGTTGGACATTTACATGTCGAAGGTCAAAAAATGAGCAAGTCATTAAAGAATTTTATTACAATTCAGGTGAGAATCTTAATAATATGATTATGTGTTCCCGAATATTTATATAAATTAATACCGTAATTTTACTAAAACAACGAATGTAGCAAGCGCTTGAAAGGTATACACCTAGGCAATTGAGGTTGTGCTTCTTACTTCACCAATGGGATTCTAAACTCGATTTTAAAGAAAGCATCTTTGATGAGGTCAAGAATATTGAAACAATTTTGAATGTATTTAATAATTTACTTTTTATTTTTATTATTTTCATTTTTTTTTATTTTGTAAACAATTATACATTCTCTTATTTATTAAATTTCTTAAATTAGAATTTTTTTGTTAATACCAAAGCCCTTTTAAATGAACGTAAGCATAACGCTTATGACTCCGATGGTACGCACCGATACCGCAGTTCCGAAAGAGAATTAATAAATCTGTTTGTGGCTTAATATTTTAATAAATAACAATTACTTTGATTATTTTACAAAAAGTTTACTCAACACTTTTTTTCTCATACAGCCTTCGTGATAAAAAGATAACGATTCATGAAGCCCTATGCGATTCAATAAATACTCCAAACGCTATTTCAGAACTAATGGAACTAATTAACAGGGCCAATATTTACTTATCTAGCGGAAGAAATAATATCAATGTTAATGTACTTGAAAACATTGCAAAATATGCTACAAAAATTTTAAAAATTTTTGGAGTTACAGAAAATCCCGCATCTGAAGAGATTGGCTTTGGAATATCACAGCAACAAAATATTGGAAATGTAAGTTGCCCTACATATTATTTTTATTAGCTAAAATATAATTAGTCTATCATTTGACTTATAAATAAGGTTTTAGGTGGAAGATATTGTCCTTCCATACCTAAGGGTTCTATCAGGTTTTCGCGATAATGTTCGCAATCTTGCTAGGCAACAAAGTAGTCATAATGAATTTTTGGCATTAAGTGATAAATTAAGAGATATAGATTTAGTAGAATTAGGTGTGTCATTGGACGATCATGAAGATGGTAAAGCTTTAGTAAAGCTTGTAGATAAGAAAGAACTTATTAAAGCAAGAGAAGAAAAACTGAAAGTTCAAGCCGAGAAAGCGGCAAAAAAAGAAGCTGTTGCAAAAGCCAAGGAAGAAGAGAGACAAAAACGACTGGAAAAAGGTAAATTGGCTGCTGAGGATATGTTCAAAGATGTAAATGGAGAGGATGGAGAAAATGCTTATTCTGCATTTGATGAACAGGTAAGGTTACGAAATTATAATATTTCTTATTTACAAATCGAATTAAACTTATTTTATTCGACTAAAGGGAATACCAACACTCGATGGACAAGGGCAAGAGCTTCCTAAAAATAGAATTAAGAAATTTAAAAAGGAATGGGAAGCACAAAAAAAATTACACACAGAATATTTAGCTTGGGTACAAGAGCAGGGTGACATAAATTGACCCTTATTTAAATAGCTAATAAATTTTTATCAAAGAAATGAAATTATTGTAAGCACATTTTAATCGACGATGATTAACACAATTAGTCACATCATCTGATTTATTTTTACTATGTAATTCTGTTGACTTCAAATATTTTTCACGTACATTAAATGTCACATTACGTGAAGGCATCTTAGGTTGTAGGTCATACTGGATACCCACTATAGAAATTTATATGTTTAATCTTTTAATGCATTTTTTTTAGATAAAATAGTAGAAAAGAAAAACTATAAAATTTAATTTTAATGTTAAATATCATTTTTAAGTGAAATATATTTAGATTTAGCATTTACTTAATATCCTTTTTTTTTTTAGTTTTATTGTAAACTCATACATTATTAAAATTTAAAAGATCATAAATATTTAACTTTATAAAATTATAATTTATAAGAAAATTATATTTATATATGATAGATTATGAAATATAAGAGAATAACAATCATTTTTTTAATATATATTTAATAAATATTTCTAATCATATATTTATTATATGTATTGTATAATTAGTAAAGTATAATTATAATATAATTTGATATCAAGATTTATAAATATAATTAAAAAATCATGAAAAACAATTTTTATTTATTTATATAATACAAATTTTTTTTTATTGATTGTATAATAGAAGACTATTAAAATATTTATATTATCACTGAAAATAATTCTCTTCACATGTATTTTATCTAAGTTACTTTACTGTGACAAGTAAGTTTCTTATTATTAGATTTTATAACCTTAGGGAATCTCATGTTTTACAGATATCTTTGAATTTCTTGAAATTACTTCATTTAACTTTACGAACTTAAAGGTTTAAAGATTTAAGGAAATTTAGAGAATACTAGTTGAATAATGACAAATAAGAGATCAATCAGATCAAATCTAGATTATCAGATTTGATTTAGAATCAGGTGATCCTAATTGATAATAAATAATGACACAAATAAGTGATATTAGGATTTCAATCAGGGTGTTATAAAGATACCAATAGTATTATTTTTATTGATTTCAATTTATTAACATCTAGCTTTCAACCTAAGTCATCAATAGAGATATTCTTATTGTTTTTTTTAAAATGTGCGATAGTTTTGCTGAATTTTTATTAATATAATAAATTTATACAAAGTATAAAAACAAATATATAAAAAAAACAAAAATTTCTATTCACTTTAAGCTAAAGACTAAATTAAATCAAAACTACTTTGCACATTTTTAAACTAATTACCTGTATAAACAAATAATTTTAACAATCCAAGGGGAGGGTCCGATCATTACTGATCCAAAAATTTAATTAGAAGAAACTATAATGGAAAGCATTATCAAATTATAATGGAATAATTATAGAATCTTTATAAGGTGATTTCAAAATTCAGTGGTTTATCTTTTGTTTAAATTTGCTTTTTCAAAGATATTAATAATAGTATATCGATTCTTTCAAGTTTAAATAATACTTTCATATACATGATAATAAGTAAAAGATAATATTATATAGATGAATTGTTTCGACTTAGTCAAGAAATAAATTTTATTATATAATAATATAGGTACAATACCTTTGATTAGGTTAATAAAAGTAAAGTGTATTATATGTGATGAAATGTTCCATATATTATTAATGAGAAGAGGGTAAAGGTTATTATTAAGGATAGTATCCATTCATATCGAATGTTGTAAGGTAGTGAGTAGGAGTCATTGTATTGACACGCTAGCATTATATATAATATTGCGACTAAAGAAACAAAGTTAAATATGATCAAAATCCTCTCCAATAATGTTGCAAACCACACAAGGTAAATTTTGTAGATAAAAAGCCAGATGTCTTTTTTAAAAACTTCTACTGTTAGAAATATTTCCAGAAGAAGTTTGAGTTTTTGCTTTTTTAAGTATAAGACTTTAAATAATGTTAAAGATGTATATTTATATTTATTCAAGGTTAAGAAGGTAGCTTCCTAATGTATAGATAGTCTTCTATATTTTAAAAATTGTGGTGAATCTATAAAGCATTGAAATTGAGAAGTTCGAAGAGCATCTTTAAATATATGTCTTGGTGAAGCGTTGATAGGAGATTGTTTATAGCAAAATATATGCTTAACACCTAAAACGTTAGTATTATAGGTAGTGATATCTGCCTAAACTCTTTTTGAAAAATTGTAATTTTGTCAAAAGATTTCGTCTCTTTAATATTTTTATATGAATAAATATAAAATTATTATATTCTTTAATGTATTTTAATTCAAAGAATTTAGATCAAATTAAATATAATTTCAGCAATTAAGTAAAATAATTTTATTATTAATAAAAAACTAGTTTTGTTATTTTGGTTTCTTTAATTTCATCATATTAAAAAAGATAATTTCATTAGGTATCACTAATTATAAGAGATTATATTGGAGGTATGCTATGTAAATTGATTTGCAATGTTATTATGTTAACATTAATTATTATTGTGAGCTTTAACTTTAATAAAGCTGAGATTTAAGTTCTTATGTATAATTAGTTAGAACACAGTATGCTATATAGCATGTCAATCTATCTTAAATGATGAAAATATTTAAAGTTTTGAATAGTAACCAAAGAATCAGTATAGATATTCACTGAGACCCTATTAGATGCTATAATAATAGCAGCAATTACAGCTGTTAATTCAGTTAATGAAGGACTTAGTGATAGAACATTCAGAATGGCATTAAAAGAAATGAAAGGAAGATTTAGAATGGTGAGTAATCAGGCTATTCTCATTCTGAATGAGAAGGTACTGACATTAGTCAAAGAGTCATCTGTATAAAACTGAAGAGAGGAGGTATTAGTAAAGGAATATGTAATATTAGAAAAGTTATTTATAAAAATAGAGTTAAAAAGGTAAGTAATTTAATAGATAAGGTCGATTGAGAACTAATCAAATTATAAAATATATGAAATGCCAAATCAAAAAGTATAAAATGTGAGAAACCATATCTAAGACCAATATTTCTAATAGGATTGATATTGATAGTAATACAATAGTAACAATTATAAATAAACAGACAACCACTTCTTTTATATTTAGAATTCGCATCAAATGATACTAAAGCATCAAAATCATTAAAGGAATATCCTTCACAAGGTGTTACTGTAATAAAAAGATACTCAAAGCCCTATTTTTCTAACAAACCTTTTATAAAATAAGTCATTTTTTAGGTGAAAATTTATTACTTTCCTTATTTTTCTTCTTTATTTTTAGAAAAATTTTCATTTTAAAAATAAGATAAGTAAATTAAAAACAAGTTTTTGGGTGGGTTTTCCTTTTATTTTTCTTGTTTTTGTAGGAAAATTCTTATTTGAAAATAAAATAAGTAAATTAGAAGCAAGTTTTTGGATAGATTTTTCTTTTTTTTTCTTGTTTTTATAGAAAAATTCTCATTTGAAAATATTTCACATTATTACACTAATTATAAAAGTCCTAAAAGATATATATTAATTATTTATACTTTTAAATTATAATTATCAACATACTTTTATTTATTTATTTATTTACTCTATAATTTCTCATCAGATTTTTTCACTTTTATTCGTATTAGCAAGCAGAATAATCACTGTTATAATATCGATTTATTTTTCTCATCAGAATTCTAATTTATTCCTGCAAAAAAAATAATAATACTCATAGTTGTACTTATACCTGAAGTTAAAATAGATCATTTCAGATATCTAAAATAGTCAAAATAGTTAAAATCATTTTTTTTTAATACTTTTACTAGACATGTGTCAGTAGATAATATTGGATCAATAGAATGATATAATTTACAATACATATATATTACTATAACCTCCCCTTAGTATAATTTTCAATTCAGTATGAATTTGCGTTAAACTTAGATAATTAGGTATTACTATCTAAGTAAATTACTATATCACTAAATTGCATAGTAGAACGCATGGTACTTGTTATCATTTACATTTCATTACTACTAGAAAGAGGTAAAGAATAACCTAAAATGATAGCCTATACTATAGTTATCTCACCATACATCAAAATCGTTCCAAAAATTGAACTTAGGCCTCTAAACTCTAGTTATGATATAGACATTATGATGATTAAAGACAGTGCAGTATCAATCACATATGGAAGCTTTGCAATAGAAAGGAAGAAAACTCTAAAAAAATCAAAATTTTACTTTCTAAACTAATTATAATTTTTTTTATAAAATAAGTCTAGATTTAACATTAACTCAAAAAAAATTTTTTTAGAGTTTCCTCCTTTTCTATTGTAAAGCTCCTATATAACATATGACTATTGTTTAATCCAAGTTATATAGTACTTACTATTGATCTTATTCTTACAGATACTATTTGCAGACGATATGGTACTTATCTATTACAGATCACCTATTGATATAGGTTTTAAATTCAATCAGTTTACTATGCATCAAGTTACTTATCACTATTACCTATTATCAGGATAGTGTATAGACGAAGTGATCTTATACATCAAATGGTCATTATATTCTATAATTTTTGTGATCTTTAATATACATAGTTTATACGATTCTATAAAATTTATTCTTAGAATTAAACTGGTAAATCCTGTAAATTAATTTTTTACGATCTGCAGTCAAAATCATTTTGATTATTGAAGATTAAAAGTCGAAATAGTCAAAATGAATATGATTTTTTATATATAGAAAATATAAAAAAACAAAGATGTAAATCTTGGTCAATATCACTTTGATTTATATGAAATAACTACTATTTAATTTCTCATTACTAGATGAATCTAATGAGCTAACATGTATTGATTTCAGATCATTTAATCTTAAGATATTTGCAATTGTATTATTGGCTGAAATTATAAATCAATAAATTCTACTTTAAATAAAGAAGTTCAAATTTCAAAATTTAATTGCAAATATTTCAAGATAGGCTGATCCAAAATTAATGAATATTAGCTTATTGGATTCATCTAGTCGTGAGGAATTAAATGG